TATAAAGTTCCATGTGTCATAGCAAGCACGATAAATATGCATAAAAAATTCAGTGGATTATATGGGACCAAAAAGTTGCCCCCTGCCAATGTTGCGCACCAACGGAGCGACGTGGTATGGGCAATTTATTCCCACCTCTGAATGCATGATAACCACGACTAACGACATCTTGCCACGCTGGTTCAATCACTAGATATTAATAATTAGGACAATAAGGAATTAAGAGCTGCTTTTATCACGGTTCATAGCTGTGCGTATAGTTGGCATGCGTTCCATTGAAAGTACTCTAGACAAGCCTGCAAGACCCATTCCGACTAAACTCCCAGTGGGATGAGTCCCTTATGCTGGCCGTAAAAGTAGGTGACTTCGAAAAGAAAACTAAAAGTTTCTACGTTTGGACCATAGAAAAACCTTAGAAAAAAAAAAAGAAAGTTTTCTTTTTTATTGGACCTCTGACAAAGTCGTAGTAGGTATTACGGTTATTACGCAAAATCGTCATGCCATCACCGCCATTATTGTCGACATTAATAGCATATCAGATCTGCCGCTTCAAAGATTTCAAATCGAATTTGAATCCAGAAATTTTAATAAGATATTCCGATATCGAGCAGCTGCCCCTGCTGCTGCTGACAACTGGAGCCGTTGGAGAGGTGTGCCGAAACTGACAGGGGGTTGGGGTTGGGTTATGACACCCCAACCGGTGCTATAACCGCCATCGAGGTAGCAGCAGTAGCGGTAGCATGACGAGGACCTCATTTCATAATTTTCCTTCTCTTTTCCGTTTGCCAAAACCGCTACTGTAAATAGTGGTGTAAATAGCGGGTTGATGTATTTGATGCGCAATACTGCTATCCTATACGCTATATGCTAATAGCGCTCTTCGTCCAGCGCAATCCGATCATTGGTCATATATATATATATATATATATATATATATATGGCACTATTTCGAGCTGTCGGCTTCACGCCTCTTCGTACTCGTGATATAGTTCCGGAACTCCATATATATATATATATATATGGAGTTCCGACAATGTCCATGTCTCGTATTTTTGTATTTCTTATTCTGCTACATAGAAGTTTGCTCCCTTGCTTAACTTTATTCGTTCTCTCGCTAGTTTGCGAGCAGTTCCCGCTGGTATTAGTTCCACTTCCCGTTCATGCGTGGCTGGCGCCATTTTGAGGAGCCATTGTGCATGATGATAGTAACATAATGATGGGTACGGGTATGAAAATACTACTACGTAAACTCTCGTCTGCTCCACTCCACTAACCTTCGCTCTTCAATAAAGATGTCCCTCAGCAGCTGCCACTGCTGGCGTTACTGTTGTTGATGATCATTTTGATGATCGTCTCAGCATCTGTGACGGCGCGTGGGGTTTATTTGCGAGCGCAGCTAGTCAGACGCTCGCTTGATCGGTTGACCTCAGCGCTGGGGTGTTAATGATGGTGGACTGGTAAAGTATTAACGAAGGAATTAACGCAGAATTGCGCTACAACAGCCATCGTACTAATGATCGCCACTATGTTTTCTTCCATGTCCGCATAATGTGTATGTGAATGTATGTGGGCACAGATAAACACTTCAGGCCGGAGACGGCTTGATCACAAAGGAGATAGATGAGAATGTTACGTGCATAATGGCGTGCAAATGTAGATAGTCAGGTTTGATTGTGGATCGTTCACACGATAGATAGATACGATGTCGATCGATGCCTTCCAGGCTATAATATCTGCATTTTTACATCATCATTACAATGGTTCGGCTTACTACGACGTATATATGTTTGATTGTGTGCAGACAAGGCGTGCTTCTAGCGCACGAGGCAAAGGTTCAGATCAGGTTCTAAAATAATTGCTTGATAGAATCGACCTTTTTTTGGACTGTTACGGTAGGCTAGGTTCTATCAGGATTAGTTAACATTCAAAAGGCCTTGTACTGTAACTTTTGTGTCGATTGCGTTTAATTAAATACGTGCTCTCTGGGTGTGTATATGCATAAAATGAGAAGATACGTTTAGACGCAAAAAGTAAGTTGTTCTACAATCACCAGGTCATTAGTACGATAAAGCTAAAAAATGAAGATGAACACGACACAATCAGAGCAAAACGTTAACTCGAATAGACAAGACGTTTGTACTCTACCGGAAAGCGGACTTTCGATTTCCTCCTGTCTAACAAAAGATGAACAGCATTTAACGCAAGAAGCTGCCTCCATTCGAAAGGATCACACGATCCGACGCGCGGAGCCAGAGTACACCATTCAAATCTTCCTACATGTTCATTAGTCTACCATAGATGATGTACTGACGCAAGTGAATACACACGGTGGGTCTATACATCAGCCGAGCTCATTGAACCATACTGCGGAACCCTACGCTAGTTTGGTATTATTAGATCACAAGTGAATCTCCAAAGGCCTATACTTTATATACGAACACTACTATTTACATTTAGCAGTATACTCGTAATGGTGCGGTGTTAACGTGTCTACCAAACTTAGCGATATATCAAGTGATCTAGGTTCGGTACCGAACCTGCTAAGGGCCCGCCATATTTGACGGCCGTGCCACAGGCAAAAATCAAAGTATTCATTTCTAATACCATAGCAACCGATTCTATCGATTAATATATATATATATATATATATATATATGGCGAATTTAGCGGTAATCGGCATATTTATTTCAATATGAGCATCGTGTAAATAACGATCCTGAATTTGATTCACGATAGATATCAATAGAAAGATATCTATGAACATTTGTTATCATTTGAATTCGTTTCGGTCGCGTTCCCATTAACGCTTTCCACTTCTACGCGCAGGATACTTTGCTTTAAGGTTTATAGTACGTTATAGTACAACACAGGATAATTATCAGTTAAATGACTTTTGCACAGCATTCGCTCGATATTTTATACTTCTACTTGCGGTTTGTTTGTTAGTACCGCTGAATAAATTTGTACATACTGAATTAACGCATTCGCAATTAATGCTAATTTTTCGAATTTATTCTGACTATATGAATGTAAATATATATTTTCGTTCCATTTTTTTCGAAGAACCGCGCTGCGAAATCTGATCTATTGTAAATTGATTGTTTCAGCACTACATAATATCAGGAGGTTGGTTGTCGGCACCGCTGTCAGGCTTTTTTGCCTACTTAACCGAGAATAGCGATAAAAAATCGCAACATTATTTTTTCACTTTGATGCGCTACAGTGACAGCGTTATAGCAAAGGGCACACGTGAGCCTGCCTACCGCCTTAGGTGGCCTTGGCGACCTCAACTATTACAGCTAAATGTGCAAAAAAATGATCGGTGCCGCGTTGCTAGCTGTCATGTATGCGAGGACTTCTATAGAAACAGCATAAAAACACCTACGAGAAACAGGAACAGAGAACATACATGACCCTTATCTGAATGGCAGGCAAGACGAGTCACGAGACGGCGGCGTGCGATCTGTCACCTATCGATGCCTGGATACGTCACTTTTTGAGCTTTCACCATAGAAATATAGATAAAAAAAAACGCGACTCTGTTCCTTACTACTGGGAGTTTTTAGCCTGTCTTGACTACTTAGTATGATAATCCTGTGTATTCAACTACGTAACATAACGAGTACTAAATGTAAGTGGCGGTGTGCCTCGAATGGTGACGAGGTTAAGGGTTCATCATCACGTGTTCGTTGTGGGCGAGAAACCCTGCTCTCGTGCAGGGAGAGTGTAAGAAAAAAACTAAAAGTAGTGTCGTCACAAATACCTACTGCTACTACGAGAACGCAATGAAACATTCTAAATCGCTGCTGCTGCCGCTGTGGAAGAAGGCGCACAGCTTGACATGTGTAAGCCAAGTCCTACTTTTCCTTTTCGCGTCGCAAGCGACAGGAAGGACGACTGGCTGCGTTTTTGTCGTTCTGTTCAAGCCGTTCCAGGAAGTCATGCAAGATCGGAGCAAAATCAGCGGGCATTTAGCATTTGCTGTCGGTAGCGTTCCACTCATAACGGCGCATCCAAACTCCGAAGGAGACTAATAGACGGGTTGGCTAGGAGTCCCCTGCACAGTGCTAGGTCTATATTGTAACAGTTCTTTGTCATAGAAGAAAGCTGCGTAGTCCTGAGTTAACATTACCTAATTTGTGAGTCACACAATGCTACGGAAATCGAGCATCTATAATCTTATGTTATCTTGAGTTCTGTATTCATATTCTGATCGCAGTAGTTCTTTTAGGTTCGTGCTTACGTTTCATAATTGTCTGTCTAGGTCAATTGCTATGTTTGTGTGCGGGCGTATGTATACCCCCAGGAACCTTATAGTTCACGCTAAAATTAGAGGTTATGTGGCGAAGAATTTAGCAATATAGGTCATGTTAATTTCATGAAATTTGACATGCATGTGACATTTGATGGTCGCCGTTTACCTGCCGACAACCTGGCAGGCGTTATAGGAGCAGATGGAGAAGGACGTCGCTGAGGCAACCAGATCTAATTGGCTATCAGAATAAAGTCCTTCATAAACGACTGAAGTTTAGCTCAAGACGATTGTAATATTAAAATAAAAAAATATATAAAATTCGAGGCGGAGATACCTTGGATAGGATATCGAGGTAGGCCGATTTCAAGCAATGGAGTACAGTTGAGCTAGAAGGAACAAGTTGATCGATAGATTGATCAGTTCTTCGAATATCTTTGCTATAAATTCGATACGATGGAGAGTTTTAAGTTTCTATACTATAAAAAGGCCAAGATAAAAGTTGCCAGTAAAATATTATTAGATACGCTAGCATAATTATACAAACGTACGCATTTTATTTGAAGAATCTTCTGACGATAGAAGCAATTATATATATCCTTTTAATGATGCACTGTTCCAGCCTACGACTACAATACAGTTTGTACCTTGTTTCGACTCAGCATCTCGATTTTAGGACAAATGCTTGGAATCGTCCAAAGGCACCTTCATCATTAAAACGAATGCGACCACTTGTTTTGTGTTACAGCACCTTATGTCGCCCGTCATCGGCGAACGGTAGTCGCCAGCAAGATTCAGGATAAGGCAAACGCGGCCGGCCTGATTCGCATGAACAATATGGTCACTGAGGAAGATGGCATCGAGAATTTTCGTCTTAAGCAGCTACAAACACCGGACGAGATCGGGCCCTCAATCAATCACACGCTGACTCCGGCCAGCGTCACCGGACAGCTGGGTTCTACCGTCTATTTGCATTGCGTCGTTCACAATCGAGCCCAGAAAACGGTAACATTTACCTGTAGAATGAAATTGATGATGACTTTTATCTTCATTTGGAACATCTATAGCTGTGGCACCAGTGGCAGACGATAGCTAAGCTAATGCTTTCTGCGACTCATTAAATGATTGTCCGCTCATGGTGCTACTGCTTGTTGCGCCTTCAATCGATTTGTGTCGATACCAAATGCTTTATTGGTTTTTCAAGCTGTAAGTAAAAGATGTCAGAATAACCTTCGAGGTCACGCTCTAAGTACGCACCGTTCGTTTTACGAATCGATCGTCCGCGAGCTTAATGCAGGAAAAAGGAAAAATACGTTCATTGTTATGTACGTGTGCTAGTAATACTAATTTTTGAAGTTTAGGGGAAAGTTTGAAAGTGAAGAGCCGTTATAGCTGGCGGAGTCATGTATTCTCAGAAGGTAATCATTTTCTTATTGAGCATTTAATATTCAACGATGGCTTTACAATAGGCATCAGTCGTATAGCAGATGCTTGTCCTATGCAAATCAGAGCTGAAATTCCCCAGACAATACGGACCCTTCTCGAACAGATTATATCGAAAAAGCCTTCTCGTAGTTTGTTCTAATTGACTAACAAATGATAATAGAGCTTAAGTCAAAATTAGATAAAAACACGTCTAGAATAGTTAAATGTAATACGACAATGTGAATTTCGCACTTAATTAAATATAAGAAATGAAATAAGAAGACTGTCAAATAAACTTGCTTCACAATAAGCTTTCTCAGTCATTTAGTAAGCGATCGTTAAACTAAATTGTATATATATAAATATATATATGTATGTATATATATGTATAAATATATATATATATATATATAGATATATTATATGGACATATAATGTCATCTATTTCGTTTGCATTACCATAAGCACAGGCGCAAAGGCCTGCAAATGTTGGCTATATAATTTCGCCCTACGAATTCTCCAAGTCTGTGCTTATAGCTAGTGGCACCAGACAAAAGACTAAATAATGCGGTCGTTAGATTTGCTGTTGCCGCTGTCGCTGTTGTTGTTCGGCCTAACGCACCGCAGGCGAAGCGCTGTGCCCCTACCGCAGCTGGTATAGACTCCATGTCATTTGGCCCCACAGCGCCCTCCATTTGCCTCTGCTTAATACGACCTCCTATAGAAAGCACCCGTTTTTTTCATCGTTCTTTCTCTGTCTTTCATCCGACCCAAACCCGATATTAATAAGCCACCAGCTGGTTCCCAGTCTGAAGATATCTTAAACGGATCAAGCGACTCCTTTGCCCCACTGCTTCATCGGGGTGCCCCAATCCCGATGTTGCACCTAGAGCGCTACCGCGTATTGCATCTTCGATGACTATCCGGCGAGGCACCTCAGTTTAGCCAACATCGCGTAATAGTACAGAGTGCGACACTACAACGCAATAGAGTTCGTTACTAAACGACTTTTGAACATATGAGGGGTACATTATTTGGCCCTGTCTTCAGAAAACGCTTTTATTCCCAATGTGTTACCTGAGACTTTTGAACATATGAGGGGTACATTATTTGGCCCTGTCTTCAGAAAACGCTTTTATTCCCAATGTGTTACCTGACTTTTTTAAAAACGATTTCTATCAATGACTATCTCAAAAAGTCTGGAGTTTGATGGCACGACAAAGATATTAAATGTTGTGCATAGGGTGCATCTATTGAACCCAGAATATCGCGCCTATATGGCATTCTCAGACTCACTCGTAGAAGAGACCCTTTGGAAGATAGTAGAGCTTACTTTTCTACGATGAACCGTATCGCACGGAAATGTTAACCCGCCCTGATTAAATACAGGGACCCGTGCAAAAATAAAATCGCCGATAATGTATTTGAAAAAAATTACCCATTTCTGTGGAATGGTCTACTCTTTGGATTGGGAAAATCACATGGTGTGGGAATGAAGTAAACTTTGCCTTTGTTATTACCGCTCAACGAAGAATCACTTAATTGAAAACACCCAGTGACCATATGTAAATAAAAACGAAATTTCGAACTTCTAACACTTGTTTATTTACATATTTTTCCTTAACGAATTTACTAGAAGTTTAGGAATATCTTGTCGTAAATCCTTCGATTTCAGTTTTTCACCTTCGACGTCAATATGAGACCTTCAGTTTTAGTTGACCGACCCGAAGAAACAACTTAGGAAGTTGTAAATGCTCAGTTGTCATTTTTAGCAAACAGAACCAAATTAAAATTGCATAGCTTTATTTTATTACGTGTGAACAATCCTCATTACTGCTTCAGACACAATAATATTTATTATCTTTAGGCGGACAAAAACGTCGACTAGAAGTTTAAGTTTGTAAATTATAATTCAAAATGAATTCACGATGTATGTGAAGTGTTGATCAATCTTTTTAGACTTCCCCCGCCCCCTGCTCAACTTCCGTATTTTATTCATACAATATATTTTATGTTGTATTGATGACTCCTGCATCTAATTATATAAATTCTTTTTTACGTAAGTTCATTTTCGAACTCAAAACACGTTTTATGCGCACGTTGTCTAAACCAGCATCTGGCTGCAATTTAGTTCCTCTATATTCTTCACGTGCTTCTGGCTTCCGTTTACTCTCTGCCCAAGATGCAACGTTTCCAAGAGCGGCCGTGCTGTCGCGGCCATCCCCATCTCACAGTATTCCCGCCCTGTCTGTCGTGCCTCTGCTGACGCGTTTGTGATGGTCGCCTTTGAGAAGCGAAGTGATCCGAACCATTGTGTTAAGTCACGTGCTCTGGCGTGAGACACGGTTTAACTATTCCCTAGCTCATAAACACTTGTGCCTATCCCTTGTGCCTAGCCTTATATTATTATCGGTTCCCTTTGCGCTCTACCAGTAATCATCTACTGTTCAACCATAATTAACATGCAGACATTGGGGGCCTTCCGGTGCCCGCTGACCGGGGAACAAGACCTTGTTGATAAATCAGTACTCAACGGGAAGGGGCGTAGCAAGGTCGCTTGCGGTTTGGCCGTTTCTTAACTTGAGATTGTAGCCATATGTTTTCCATTAGGATGGAGAAAGAAAATGGGCGGAAAAGTTCATCGCTATGGTCTGCGAAGTGAATATAGAAAATGGTAGTAAACGTGCCGTTGCAGAAGGTCCCAGGCAGGTCCTGTTGCACTTCGTGCGTTTGTAACACACTGTCGGCCTAATATACACAAGCATACATTGTTATTCGCACGTTTTCAGACGGTATTCTACGACACTTGCAGTTATTACGTGCTTTATAAGGATTTGTGTGTTGCGGATCCTGTTTTTTTTCAGTTCTCAGTTTCAGTGGCGGAAGCGAAATGTTTAAATTGAGAAAAATCATAGGAAAGTCCCGGTGGTAATCGCGGTGAGCAAACTACAGGCACATACATAACAAAAAAATAAATTACCTATAATATAGCCTACACAGATGGAGAATAGACACAAGGCGAAAGAAGACACAGAGCTTTGTTTTGGCGTACTTGTTTGCTGAGCTAATCTACTAGCGTCCTTTCTCAACTTAATCTCGTGTAAGTTAGCGTTTTGACCGCGAGTTTGAAGTCAACACGCTTGAAAAATAGTTAGTTTTTCGAGGGCAAAGAGGTATTACTTGAAAAGAGAAGTAAAACTGGGATAGTTTTTTTTGCCTAGTGTGAGGACTAGAAAAATCTAGTGTCCGGACAACATTTCCAGTGGCAAACGACCTCTCAACTTGGGCATCTGAAACTCCCTGAAGGCTCGATTTTCGACGGACGATGGCAGTTAGTAGAAAATGGCTTATTTGTAATATTCCTATCGGCCGCCATAGCACTCAAATCTTACCTGATTTTCCTCGCTTGCCATAGGCATACCTTAGTGCTAAATACAGAGGGGTAAAATTCAAGACTAAAGTGACACAAAGACGTCGACAGAACGCAGGTGTATAGTTCGCCGTCGTGTTTCGTACGCGAGTAATAGAAGAAGTCGGCTAAGTCTTACGTAGACGATGATACAAAATGACCCCTGAAAAGGGCGCGATAGAAATGTGCTCGTTAGAATTATATACATATGCGTATTTTGGGATCCAACTTCAATATGCCAGTCACGCTTCTCTCACGCAGGTTCTGTCTTGCTTTATAGGTAACATGGCTACGCCGTTCGGATTACCACATCCTCACTGTTGGTTCGCTTACGTATACAAGCGACGAACGGTTCTCGTCGAGTGCGAGAACTCTACAGGGCAAAGATACGTTCACGTTTCCTTTAGCAGCAAACCGTGGCAGCGATTCGATCGTGGCCGCGACTACTACCGAACATAGTGCGTGGCATTCGCCAGACCGAGGCACGAGTTCCCCAGATCGAACCGAAGACTGGATGCTACAAATTCGTGGAGTGACCATAGCCGACGCAGGAGAGTACGAGTGCCAGATCAACACACAGCATCCATTAATCAGCACCCATATCAATCTCATAGTTCTTGGTAAGTTCACTACTTAGTTATTAGGGGTAGCATTTATGGTCTCGAAGGCAACGTTGGCACAAATCAGTATTTGGTGAGCTATACGTTAATGAAAGGTATTCGAATTGATCTTACATTCGATAATGTCAAACGAAAGACTTATGGCGCAACCGAAATCCATGACGAAGGTAGAACGACAAGGCACCTTGTATACCATATATCACGAGCGAAGTTAGCTTAATTGCTCTGCGACTTAACAAGATACAATAATTCTATATTGTTGTTAAACTTTCAGCTCCTCACGCGCAGATTGTTGAAGCTCCCGAATTGTACGTGAACAGCGGAAGTACAATCGCGTTGACCTGCGTTATTCACGATTGCCCTCAGCCCTTAACGCACATCTTCTGGTACCACCAAGATAAGGTTAGCACAAGACAGAAAATACAAATTAATACTACTGAACAAATAGCGGTAGCAATGCAGTGCTGTAGATATGTCCAAGATGGCCTATATGTTACATATAAGGATTACACGAAAACATCCGGATCTGCATTCATTTTCTATGGTTCGAACGCCGTTGCGTGACAGAATTTTGTTGGTTTCGGGCGGAAAAAGAGCGATGTTTATCGACAAGTGACGTAGATTTGTATAGTTTACGAGATAATCAGAATTTGGCATCGGCTCTTTCTGGCATTTTTTTTCTATAAAAGAGGTGTTTAGTACGTGACAAATCTGCAGGCACACACTGATTAAATTTAAACCGTTGGAAATTCTCCTCTCTTACATGGGATAACCCTGCGCCTTCTAGATCAGCTCTTTGTATTATTCCAAATACCTATGAAGTCCAAAAAACGTAGGTTTAAAAAAACGTCATTAAGTTTGGTTCTAAAACATTTACCATGCACTTTGCTTTCAAGCTTCATTCAGGGAAAATTATTTTCCTTTTATTTATGAGCATTTTTTGCTTATGCAGCATACAGAGTACACCTCTACGACGTCTACATGAAGAGTAAATGCCTGTATTTGATTTGAAAAGAAAAAACAAAAATATCAAAAATATCTAGAACTACATAAGAAGAGTCATCGTTTGCTTCTGTACCATTGTGCCTAACGCACCAAAATCTCGCATAGGATATCATTGAGGGTGACTGATACTGCCGCCTTTCTGGTGTTCGCGGTCAGCTTTCGTAAAAGAAAATTATTTAGCCAAAGGTTTTCTTGTTGCCATTGAAAAAAATATCAGATGAATAAATAACAAATCAGTAATTCTCAGGTAATAAATTACGAAAGACACGTAAATGTCTCTATGGAGCGTCCAGGTTCGATTCCGGAAGAGGTCCGCACCTCTAAGTTGGCATCAGACATGGTTAGAGGTTTGGTTCTTGGGGATCGCCATAAATGGATCTGGACACAAATATCTCGCCTGCTTATTCATATGGCTTCTACAGAGCATTCCGGCCGGTATACGTGTGCTCCTGTTGATTCTAGCCCTGCATCCGTCCATGTCCATGTTTTACAAGGTAGGCTTTTCTGTGAAGTGAAATTCTGTGTATATATTTATATAGCATGCGTGAATAAACAAGACTAGAAATCCGTAGTAGAAAAAACAAAGGGGAGTGCGGATGTAAATTAGCGGCGCTGATATCAGTTGTGAAAAAAATTGCTACATAATTCGTGAAACACCATAGACTTTTTTTTTATTTCTTGATGGAAGGTGTCTGAAAATTGCGATTGCTGAAATGATCTATGCTTGCGATTCTAGTGTTTCAGATAAATTTCCCACTGAGTTGAAATCTTAGCAGTTTGCTTCAAATACCGTGCAAGGAACGCCACTATCCTCACTCAACCTATCAATCTTGTGACCCATTCCAAGTACTTATATCTTTAATCCCTTCTCTTCTCCGTAGCGGAAGAACATTTGGGTTCTCGCAGGTCGCATGACGCTTCGTCTGCGAGTTCTACTGGAAATTCTCGGATAATCGAAGGAGGATCAATCCTGGATCGACCTAGGTTAACACTGTCCTTTTTGAAGGGTCTCCCACTGTTAGCGTTCGAGCTGCTCTTTCTCTTCGTTGTCGCTAAAACTACGTGACATCAATTTAAGTTCTGGGTGAGCATCTGAAGCGGCAATCGTATGTTTCGCTTGACTTATTTCTGCTACGGTAGAATATGATGGATTACAACTTAAATGAAAGAAACATGTTTCTTCTTGTATACATACCTTGCAGGCCTCGAGTAGGGCTGAGTTAGGTGCGCGATCTTCGACTGCTGCCAAGAACGCCCACTTACGTCCAGCCTCGAAAAAAAGTATATCGTCGATATCCGGCTTTTCGCCAGTGTCCAAGTCAGCGCCCGGTTCCTCCTTGGATAACCCAGAAAACCATCATACCAGCGCAATGCAACAAGGAACTCGTCTGACTACCACATCGATCCTTCAGTTTCATATGCAATCGCCAGGTTGTACTAGGCAATTGCAGGACACAGGATGCGCTGCTACTCTGCTCTGCCTGAACGGATACCACCAGCGGCAGTGCGTCAATTCAGACTTTGTCTAGGACATACCGCACCTGGTCGCGGAATCAAACCCGCTATATATATCGATATTAATATGCACATATATATATATACGCTATGTCAATCGCAATATTTATTTGTAGCTGAAGCCAATTTCGTTGACCGATTCATCTTAATTAGAATTAATAGCCAAATTTTTTTGTGTATATTACCGGCACTAATACTTGCACAAGCACGAGATCGACTGAGCGTATGTTTATAGAGAGCAATTGCAGAAAGGTTACCAATCAGGCGGTTAAGATAGGAATCTACGGCTTAAGAGTGAACAAGCATCCTTCATACTGTGTTGAACCTGTTTTTGAAATGGGATTTTTGTTGCGGGCAAAAGCTATAGATGTTTCCCTAAATTAAAGATCGCATTATTGTGCGAGCTTCGGTAAGTTCCTATGGGCATTTTCTCCGGCCAACTAAAAACTTAAAGGTCAAATATTAATAGGACCTTTTGGTCAGACATCCTTCAACTGGAATTCATCCTAGACTAGTAATTTTGCACGAATAAAATTGAGACAATGGCTACGAAACTCGAAAATTACTGAAGGCGTCTAAGGGTAACTCTGTGCGTGTACATATAATGTAAGCATACCTGCTTTAAACGTCTATCTGTGATAAAATGTATAGGATAGATAGATGGAATAGCTAGTGGACCAAGGAATGTATCATAAATCATACTAATAAAAAATGGGAGATCCATAAAAATTATTCAGAAACGAATACGGTCACGTTTTGTTATTATACGATAGCAAAAGTAATAATATAGATTGATATAATTTATGAAAAATTAGTTAACGGTGCTTCTTGCCGGTAAGCACAGGCTAGGCGCGCTCAACGACGAGTAGTTACGGGAACGTTTGTAGTGGGCTAAATACCTGAGGCGACTTCTGCTAACGTTCGAACTTATAGCATTCTATACAAAACATTGATTGATGCCCTCCAATGTTGAAAATACGACAGGTATACAATTCGAGCCGTTTACGTATATGCAAAGCAGTTTACTAGTATACTAATGTTTAAACACATTACATTCCTTTCGGTACGAGTTACTCTTTTTACTAAGCAAAAAGGAGCCTATGGCGTGTTTATCTAAGCTTCTTCTTGAAGGTCGCCTAATAGACGTTCTATTAGAACCTAATAGAACGTGGCATTATAATCCGCTAATTAGCCCGCAAGTACTAATAATAATCGACGTTTATTATCGGTATTGCTAGTAATGTGGTACCGTTTTTAGACGTCGTGCATGATAATTTTAATAATATACATATAATTTAATTTCTTTTATGGAAGGATAGAATAGACGTGTTTGAAATATGAGTTCGAAGTATTAAGATCGAACATGTCCTATTCAGATTCAGAGCCTGTGACCATATAAATCCCATGACCATATAAATGTCCGAGAGTAGCTTTGAATAAATGCGTTAACGTTTCTATATAAAAATAAAATAATTATACATTTTATACAGTTGACTACTCTGCCTTTTTTTGCCACAACCTGGTGCCCTTTTTTTCTCGACTAGCGCCACATTCTCGTATCCAAAGCATTATTTCCACGATATCGCAAGCGTGATATTGTGCTATGCGCCATCATCGTTCACACTCTATACATTATGGATGAATCTCGAAATAAGTAAACGGCTCGCTAAACCCACCATTAATTTATATATTTTTAAAAATGAGAACTCCAAAGAACTATTCATAATACGCAAGTTTCCGACTGCGAAAATCGGTCTAAGAAATTTCGATTGGTCGTTACAAAGCATTGCGCTAGACACAAAGATATATTTCTCAAGTTTTACATGATGTAGCATCAAAGGACGATTTTATGCTTAAAGTTCAAAATAGCACCATTGATTTTAGTTAAGGGTTAGCTTGATTCAATGAAAAAAGCAAAGTTTATGTTTCATACTGTATCAAACTATATTCTATCACCTCAAAGATTCTGGATATAGATGCTTCAATTCAACTGTGTAAATATAGGCATTTTATCAAAATTAATTTTAACAAACCCCGAATCCTAGGAAGGAACCCCGAATCCGCTGGAAAACGAACCCATAGATTCGTCTCCCGGGCCTAGGACTGTTTGTTCTCAAAATTCCATAGAGCTAATCATAATAAAAGGGTATTGCTAAGGTAATTGTGAAACGTAAGCTTCCCCGTGCCATATTCCTGCATTTTTTAGCCTAAAATGTCGCTAGGTTATTTTGCAGTAACTTCCGTAAAAAATAATAAATGTCTGTTATTTTCTTACGATTTATCGATTACCTCTTTACCTGATAAGGAAACAACTAAAAAAAGTTTTTTTTTTTTTCAACTATTTATTACTATTATTTGCTTTCTTTATATAATAAAATGATTTTTTTTTTCGATTCGTTTGCCTACCAAACCGACCGTATCACTATATAGCAAGAGAACAAAGTGTGCTTAAGATCTGTGCGACCGAACAATCATATTTTTCCGCTGCCACGATTAGATAGCTAACCTCCTGGCTTGGAACCCTTGATGACAAACATAACGTGTGCCGATACGAGGACTTCTGATAAATACTTTAGTTCCATATATTTTGTTTGGCAGCCATTAAATGAGAAACAAGTTATTGGAAATGGAAAAAAACGTTGCTAACCATATGCGAAGTTCTATATGTCTCTCTTACAAACCTCAAATATATATATATATATATATATGAATTTTTAAATACAACCACCTCTACGCGTCTGAGAATACAATCTCAAACCATATCGTAAGTTTTCGTACAAGCGGGGACAAATGAGATCCCATGAATAGAACCGCTGGCTGTTAAAGCTGAGAATAACGCTGCACGTGTAGATAGTATAGTCCTTAGTGTCGAAGTAATTTTCTATTTTTAGAGTGACTTGTTCAGTTATATACAGTGAGGTACAGTGATCAATGATGGATCGCACCCAGTTGAAGTTTTCAGCTTTCAAAAATAGTTTTCTCTCCAGAGAAGATGTTTCTAAAGAGCAGTAGCAGCACCAGCAGCAGCGGCACGGTAGTATTCTATTCCAATGTCCTGCATCGATGTACGTAAGAAGCTTATCCGTGCCATTACGTATTGCTATACAATCCTTGAATAGAGAGTCTATAAATGTCCAGCAAGATTACCAAAGTAGTACTTCAAAAGTACACACACGAGACTAATGCGTGATTGCAATTTGCCATTCTGTTTTTTAAGGAACTTGCCCCAGGCGTTGCCACGAAAACACCGCTTTTGGCACTATTAGTGCAAATACATCTAAAGTAACGTCGATGAAGTTACTCACGCTAGATCGACTAAGTTAGTTGAAACTGAAACGTCCAATCAGCATGTAACGACGAGTCGTACACAATTACGTACACTAAAAATAAATGGGATGATTATTATAAGTGGATCCTAACTAGACGGTTGCGCTGTTGTTGCTGATTTACGCCTAGCTATAGATTCATTGTACTAATTTTCCTAGTAATATTCTACGATGGCTGGACGTTGCATCAATGTCGGCTGTGTTGTCAATAGGTAAACGCACTGGGCATTTGACCCTTGCAGTTCGCTTGGAGGCTGCCGCCGTTGCCGTCGCTATCACAGATCCTTTATGAGGCAACGGATGTCGACCGCCATGTATTACTTGTTGCGGATACTTGCTACTCTACGATTGCAAACTCACATATAGCTCACAGGAGAACCCTGTTCAACTATTATTAGAAACATACGTGAAGATAACAGAGCGTCGATAGGCTCACCTGGACCTTGGCTTCGGGGCCGATCCCGATCTTGCGCATGAGAGTGACGCCATATGCCTTCTAAAGATGGGGTGTTGAGTGGCGTTTGGATATCTTTGCAATGGCTGAATAATTGGCAAGGTTCTGCTGCGTTCGGAGCACTAGCATGCCATGACGCTGCTGCTAAGAAGCCAGACTAACTATAAACTCCGAGGAGTATGAATGGTCTAAAAAATAGCTTCGGTACTCGAATATGTCTGGTGAGGTGTTGCAGAGCCTGGCCTCGCTGAGATACTTGTTTTGTCGTAAATATGTTTCTGCATAGGTGTACATATATGCACATGGTGTTGGTATACAGAGACGAAAAGACGCATAAACATACGTTTCTTCGAAGTTATTCTTACATTTAAATTAATAGTTCGGTAATGTTTTATTTTAAAACGACTAAAGATAATATGCAATAAAGATTGCATGCATAAATGTTTCGATTTATCAGTAATCGTCAGACTGCCTCAGTTCTGTACCTCAAACCTATACCCTCTGATTCGAAGCAAAAACAACCAATTCTACCCTCCTGCAATAATTAATCAATTCGTTGTTGAGAATTGTTACGAGACTTTAAGTTATCGAATATCATATTATTAAAATAAGTAACTTATTTATCACAAAAATCCTTGCCTGCAAACAGTTAGCAGCAGGAGTACAAAAAGGAACACTGAAGCAGCAGCAGTCAGTGTCTAGTCCTTTTTATTTAACATGATAATGAAAGTTCAGCCGGCCCCTGAGTTCCTATAAACAAATTGTTATTCACCTCAGTATTAACAAACCTTACAGCTGCGAGACATAAGGGAGTTGCTTTTTTCGAGTTACTAAGGCAAAAACCCAAAACAACAGTCGACTAAACTTAGTTCGCCGGTAGAGCTTTTTGTTTGTTTTTGCCACGTGTCGTTTCACGCGAGTGGACCCGTATAAGCATAAATGGTGCGAATTTCCTTCTTTTAACGATATTTCCTATGCGTGCGAATATGGGTCTACCTGCATGTATCACTGCTAATCTTGGCCACGTGTGCTCGTTTTAAATATGAACGACGGAACTAGCGTGTCAGTTCCGATGTCGTACCATATTACGGTTTAAGCACGCTCAAATGATGATCGCTTATCTGATGGCCCAATCAATTGTGTAGTTGTCCTTCGTAAGTCACGCTAGTTTAGGACGCATAGTAGCCGTTTCTCACTGATAAACTTTCTTTTAGTAATCTTCTTATGGCAAGCCCAAAATAGTCTCATATAGTAAACTGCATAGCGTGTCGCCACATATTCCTTCCGTCCGGAAAAACGGTTCTATTCTATCCCCCACGATAGGCTTGCTTGACAAGAATTGTTTATTTTGCCTACTATTACATATCGAACCTCAGCGTGATTTGCTGGCTTAAAGAATCGTCAATTCCCTATCTATACAAAAGTTTAGTTATAAGCTTGTGCCAGATACCGGCAATTAAACGGCAACGCTAGCGTAAACTTCCCCGTAAGAGTCTGCTGCAGACGAAATGAATGAATGAACTGTAGAAACTAGTTCGCTAGACTAAATACCTCTAGGTGATGAAAAAAGGCTTGAGAGCGCTCTCTGAGCAAGCACATATCTGCATAATGCGAATGTCTTTTTTTAAAAATGCCGTTAGCAAAATGTCATTTATAAACTACTGCTTGATGAATCCCTCACCAAATGTTACCTTTAACCGTTTGATGTTTGCTTGGCATTCAAATCGGAAAGACCAAGCCTTTCAGGACTGCAGGGAAGAAATCACCAACGCCTCTTAACAGTCGTGGCATAGAAGTGGCAGCATTAACAAATGAAGATAGTTTAAAGAATCCATGTTCACTCTTCATTTGGATAAAAGTTTTGACATTGAATTACGCTTAACAACGCGCAAGTGATCACCTTGCGTGCAATAACCTATTGGAGCTCTGCGATACGCATCTTTCTAAGGTCGAATTTATTGAGTCCAACCTTGTCTGCAGCCAACTGCCGTTGACGGTTTCTCAAATAGAGGCAAACCATAAAATAGATTGGACTGCAAACAAGGTGTACAATCGTGTTTTTGTCGGAACATAAAATATGATTTTGTGGAAATCTTCTTTAAAGCTGTGCGTTTATACTTGGTGAAATGCTTTATCAATGCTCCTAATTGGTGCCGAATGCCGAAACATCGTACTCAATCCACAAAGATTTACGGTATTATGGGGTAATAGCGTTCGGCGGTATAGTATTAGGATCTCAGCGTTCCGGAAGTCTTTAGAATAAAATCATAGCATAGTAGCGGGTATACTCGTCACCAGCGGCCCTTTGCCGCGGGTCGCTCATACCTACTGTTCTTGCTCTATAGCGAACCTCGACAAGGCCACCTGTTTGATGAACTGAAAGCAAAAGCATTTGTCCTGATTGACAATAATAAACATATGCCATGGCTAGCGTGTTGGGATCTACGAGAATATATTGGAAATCAACGGTAACGTAGGGTGTAGTAAGTCTTTGACAGTTTGAAAGCATGTAAGCAGGTGAAGAGACAGTAGCCTCAATACCGACCGGATCAGATAGGGCCTTAAATCTGAATGATTAAACAGGACTCGTACTTACTTACTCTACTTCTGAGCTTGGTAGACTGTATCATGGTGAGCCCCGCACTCAGGCCCTCGAATAGCTTCGACATGAGTTTGAAAAAAGGTTTTTTCAACAAGCTTGCAAGGGTCTTCCGTTTAAAATGAAGCTGATAATCACCAATAACTAACAAAACTGCAAGTAAACAAGTAAACCTTTATCTTACACGAATATGACCTGAAGGTACCATTTAGTCTTTTGCTACCTGCTGATAGATTCTAATTAAAAGATACTCATGTAGAGGTACTTTAAATTGAGATAAATATTCCCCCCTGTAGGTCGTTTTCCCCTTGGCGTTCTTGGTCAAACCAATCACTACACAAAACGCATCGGCTATAGCTGGGTTTATTACAATGTTTTTTGCGCTTATATAAAACGAAGTAGCTATATGTTACTAGGTTTCTTTTTGTTTTAGTGTCTACCGCATAATGAAGAACAAATCTGCAATAATACCGATCTTCATCTTTATTTAGTAGTCGTAGCCTTCGTCGGTGTCATAGAAATCGTACCAAGCAAAAAGCAAATTTACATTTTAGAGTGAATAAACAGGCCATTCAAATAAATCATCATCAAACTTCCAATACATAGTGCTACGATCTAAGTCTGTTTTCACACCTTGAAGCTAACAGTTTTCTGTAATAGAAACACAGGTAGCTTATCTTTTGATTCATGAGCAAGATTAGTGATATAATAGGTACATATATGTACACTCTGTAGATAACATCGTCAATAGCTTTCTTCATAGATTTTCTTTTCAAAGTCATCGTGATTCTTATTTTCTAACTCCCCATATTTTCAGCTGGCAATCTCTTGTCACTGGGTGCACGACACCGCTTAGCCCGAAAATGTAACGTACTCGAATTAAGTTAAACTTATTTTTCATACTGAATATTTCAATCCTATGAGTTAGGGAAGTCGACATTCGTTTAACGGAAGTTAAATTAACAAGATTTTTTGATCAACGCGTCTACAATATACCGATCTATCGGTGTTACGATCAGAGTTGAGCTGTGTGGCTTAAATCCATGCGTGTCGTCTATTGATTGATATAACGTGATTCACTTAGACAATAAGTAGGGTATTTCAAACTTCGACGGGAACACAACATCCTTTTATTTCATTTACCGATACAGCACTAAAATCTCATCATAACCAAATCTGAGACTGGTCGTCCTCTGCCGCACCGGAAACTGGAGCTAAACAATATCAGTTAATTTTTTCAGCTTCCAAGGGCCTATTATGACAGATGCAGGGAAAAGCGTGTTGCCAAAGGAACGGACTGTTAGGAACGACCTATCCGGGTAGGATTCCCCCAGATTTTTCTGATATATCAAAAAATGGTTTTTCGCTCCTACACTCGAGGCTATAGTTTAATGTTACGATAATGAAGCAAATTATCATCGAAACCTTCATTAAAGATTAAGTAACACCAGTCACTTGATTCAAGACCAACGGCGGACCCGGTATTAGGGAACGGGTCAACACTTTCCCTTAATAGCCAATGAAAGCATGTTACGAAGCACGACATTTTTTACTGATTATTCAGTCGTCGTAGAATAGCATTTGGCGTATGTTGACAGCCTGATGATGTTGTCTATCGACATAGCCACTCGTTATATATGTATATATCGTCGATATAATAAGAATAAATTTCTTCTTCCGAGTTTCCGTTTTTTACAAATACCAAACATAGCAGAAATGTAACAGAGATTTAGTCTTCGTTTAACATAGAGCAAAGCTGACAAACAGAAGACCCAGTATAAACAAAGCGACGACTGTTGTGCATACTTTCAACTCTATATCATCGTTATTTTTTGGACTGGTACAAGATCTCTGTATAATCGAGTATTGTATCAGCTATAGTAAGTGCCAGTTACTGACGCTATACACACAGTTTGCAAGCGGAACGACTAAGTGGGCTTCTGTCAGGACTTTGCCTTTTCAGTATACCATATAACTCTAGCATACCGGACGCATTAACTTCGATCAATAATCACGCTGATCAACCGCTCTTACATTAAACGATATACGTTTGAATACATTAAGCACGAGTACTAAAAATAACGACAGTTAGTTAGCTCATGCTGGCACTGTTCGATACGGTGAAGATTTGTTGATAGTTGTAGTGTTCACGTCTAACGCATTTCACATTGTAATGACTCTGTGAGACCATTATGCAGCTGAAGTACCCCAACCAGGAGATGCTGACAGTCGACGGGGCTAGTTAAGTAGTTTCACTTAAGTTCTATTGCAGTCGGATTACAAGTTCGGTTCCGACGTACGTGGGTAAACGGAGCTTGTACTTAGCTGCTAGTGAATTGGGTATGAATCGCCCACCGAGAAAATGTTTGCCCTTGTAGTTCTGGACACACTTCTTAGGCGCTGTAAGTGATACGACCATGGCCGGCTTAATTGAATCGGCATGTGGCCCCATCTCGACGTCCCAACCCGACGGCACGTCAACACTCACGATCGGGGTCTGGAATCAGAGACAAAAGCGCGTATTAACATTCCGCTATCACGGAGAAAAAGAACTGAGCGAATATTAAAACTGTACAAGGGTATGTTTCTTAGTTTATCGATAATTTTTAAGACCCTAATAAACGCTACAACAAATCCTACTTAGATAAACGGTCACGACATTTCCACTATCAATATTAAAGCCATTCCTCTCGTTTGTAGATAGTGGTTTTAGTCCGTTGCCATATATCATCCCAGCTTTCCCGCGTTCAAACGATAGCTCAGCATAAGCTTGGAACGCAAAATCTCTTATAGGAACTGGATGTCGCAGTACATACATTTGCCTGTCTAGACTTTCAGAATGTAAGATCCGTACGGATAAACTGTAAAATTTAAGTCTGACGTAAAGAGTGCTCTATCGAACAGGTTATTTTCTGTTTACTAGGCGTGATTCGAGGCAGTGTTCGGACTCAGGTTCTATGGGAAAGAATTCAGCTGATAAACAAACCTTGAATTTGCACAACTTTTGCAACACTTCAACAAATTCAGGTCGTACGGGCGGTCTGAAACCGAAACCAAATAAAGCGTCCACTACCAACGCGAAGTTTTGGTCGACCAGAGTCGCATCTGGCAGGAAGCTCATAAATGAAATCTCCATTTCTTCGCATTGGCGACGAAGGGCCGCGAACAAAGGCTTGGCAGGCTGTTTTGGATAGAATATACACGGATCGTAGCCAAACCACTTCAGATGTCTGAAAGGAACGAGATTCGAACAAGCAATACCTATTCAAATGGACATACGGAATAGCTGGCTAGAGTTAAGAGGCCATCAGTGAACCTTCATTTACTAATTCATGTCTGGTACGATATAATTTATTCGTTTAAGAGGACGATACAAAACTAATTCGAACGAAGTCGAAAAGAAGGCTGTCTTTGAATAGTGATCTAGGTTGCAAAATAGTGTACCTATGCATTCGAACCTCGAAAAAGAGATCAGCTAAGAAGAACATGATATAATCTATTATCAAACCTAGCCGCAACGAGTCCGTCTCCGCCGTTATTTCCCGGTCCAGCACAAATGAGTACTTTCGGTGCCGATGGAGAAGATTTGTCAACATTTCCGGAGCCCCCTTGAACTGCGTTTGGTGGATACGCCTTTGCGATCGCCGTTGCAACTGCTAAGCCAGCTAACTCCATCAATTGATCTACAAGCGTAGGAAAATATAGAATGGAGACAAAGATAGTTGCCAAACTATGGGTAGAGACGATAGACGAAAAAAGGGAAATGAATTTTCGGATAAGATTGTCAGGTTTGCTCAGATAGTCGTAACACGTTAGCAATGTAATTCTACAGGTCACTGTGTTCACTGTAACGTATGCGTCAGAAATGGTGAGGCTTTTCAAAAGTGATAAGAACTACTGATTAAATGCTCGCAGTGTATTAGTAAGCAAAGAATTCCTGTTAGGTTTCAGTGAAATGTATACACAGTATAAAATCTGCCTCAATACATTATCAATGTATTTTTCTATATTGATACATTACCAATGGTAAAGCCGTATTCGTCAAATAATTCGACATCGATCTTGGTAGCCTCGTCCTGGGTGAGGAAGGACATGTCCTCAGGAATCGCAACGTTAAGTGAACTCTTCGTCGACAAGGAGCACATGATGGAAGAGAAGTTGCAACCAAACGCGATGGGCAATATTGCGCTGCCAGAAGACCCGTGGTTAATTGCCGCGAGAGTTAATAACGTTGCTAAGCAAGGCGTTCGTAGGCCAAAGGACGAAGCGGTGCAAATAAGACTGGACGAACCTAGTGAAGTATGCAAATTTTTACAAGATATGGAAGAAAAGGCTTGCAAACGTAAGAGTGTGGCAATCTCGCTGTTAACGCTACGTTGCCGGATTGTGCCGCCTGCAAAAAACCAACAAACGTTAACGAAGAGAGGATTATGAACGGCGTTAGAACGTGATCTCCTAACACGCCGTAAAAATTACTAATCACTGCAGCGAAAGCCGAGCGTAACACAAAAAAAGGGCCACATTTCTCGAATTTTCCTGCTTGAAAACAATACCATATATTATAAAATTCAATAACAAGTGAAAGGAAACTATGTTGTTCGCATAGAATTGCTCTGAGACCTTTCACGAACCTTTTCCTCAGGTAGCCCGAACCTTTAACGAACCTTCGTTAAAGGTGCTGGACTTTCGTGCTGTTAAGATGAAGTTAGTGGTTTAAATCCCCCAGAAGTTCTTCTCTTTTTTTTTAGAATTCTGAATGCTTTTCACTATTTCTGTCTAGAATCTAAATTCTAAATCTGTTATTATATCATAGGCAATAGCGATATTTAACGTCGATTTCAGGCTGCAAAATATGGAGATTCCAGGTTGAAAAGGTACACTTTCGGCCCTCGCTCCATTTTCTTCTTTGTAAAGTTCAGAAATTACTGAACTAGTGCGGCATATTTGTTTACTAAAACCAATAGGACTGTTCGAAGAAGCTTGCTAAACCCAGGAAGACATGGAGCCTTTACCATGACCCGGTCGGCCATCGGACGTTGGTGAAAACCTCGAGCGGTAGAAAATTCGTTGATCGATTGAGTCGATAAGCTGCGAAAACCAGCAATTATGTACCAGAAATTAGGAGCGTGGGTTGTGGATTTGGCGAATGCGTCTTCTTATTGATGTCAAATGTCTTGTTCGGTTTTCGCCAATGCACAGGCATAATTTGTACCATAACTGAAACATGCAACGAGTGATAATCGATTATCGATAGTAGTCGATACTAAATAGAGAAAAGGACAAGTAAATTCCTGATATATGCCAAGCTTAGATTTAAAGTTTGAAAAAGCCACAACGTCCATTTTATCGAAAGAAGCCTAGTATAGATACACTCACATACGTCAGTAGGTCTGGTATGACTAGCTTTCATTTCTGCAAGACAGGCGTGAACGCTCGCACATATAGATTACTAAATCTGTTTATTTCGGATCCAGAGCGATCTCTTCGCACCGCTGAGGTATAATATCCTCATACTCAACATAATAATCACACTCTAGTGCACTTTCCCGACCGATAAACCATCGGTGCGCTAAAAGGGGAAAACAGTTGACTGTATAATGTCATTTTGTAGGTAATTTAACTTAATATAACTTTATACCCGCTTCTGTCTATAGCGTGATCGATGTCAGATTGCATGTCACGCCAATATACTGCGTTCAAAACAACGGTTGGTCGCATCGAGGTACACATATCACCTCGTTAGACCAGTAAGCAGGCGGATTCAAATTTTGGAACAGAGGTACGAACCACTGAAAACAGAACTTACCTATTGTGTATTTTTCTGCGAAGACTCGGAGTAGTTACTGCATCACACATGATAGTTCGGCTTCGTCAGCGGAATTGTTGGACAGACCTCGTGTGCTCTCCAAGCACTCTACAGTATATTCTGTAACTTCTTGAACGTAATTAGCCAATTTTTCACTTAGTCGGTCAATTACATTGCCATCTCCTTCAAATCATAGATGCGGAACAGATCTCAAATCCGAAATTGACCGCTTGGCCGAAACAAATGTGATAGAACTGCAGCTTTTCGTGTTAGCAAAAGCAATCAGATAGCGACTAAGCCAGCCCAGTTGGAAAACTAGGTGCGATCTACTGGTTATGATTTTAGGGACATCTCGTCGTCGTATGCGGCTCATAACCGCGAGTATAGTTAGCAGCATTGAGATTTACCCTAAGGTGCGCACTTAATCAAGGTTTCTTCTAGGTCAACTTCTACGCCAAAGCGAACGGACGCAGAGATCATCATTTCTGCTGTTAAAAGCGCACGCCCGGTGTTTCCACTCTGCGCAATTGTAGGTTGCTCAACAAAACATACACCCACATGCATGCACGCACCCACGCACGCATAGCACGTATATGATGTCACTAGTATTTACATTAGTAAGAAGCTGAGCTTGGCTACGGAGCTCACGAAACATTTGCTTAAGGCGCCCTTTGTAGAGCAAGTAGAAGGTATCGGTGGCGGCTATAGTATCTTTGTGATGTGTAGACACAAAGAAACACGCCCAAACACACGCATTACATGCATATTTTCAATATATATTATTAATTCAGACAAGTACGCCGACGCACAGACTAGACACAAGCTTGTATTCGCCGATTGCCAGCGGTCCGTTCAAGCAGTGTTAAAAAGACAGAACTTCGTCCTGGTAGAGATACTACTCTGTTCGCGTGTTCCGCATGGGGACCGATCGTGTAAATATGCTCACCAATCTCAGCTTTTTTCTTCCTGAAACGATGCGACTAAGGGGACTAAGGGGACGATCGAAGTCTGATCAGGGGCGGCAGTGTCGAATCCCCATCTCTCTCCTGCTCGTGCAACCCCTCAACGCGAGACGTTGTTATGCCGTGTGGTAAAACGACATGGCTTTGGGAAGCTGCCAAGTCTGTGGGAAGAGGTGGCCAGAACAACAACGGACAATGCGGCATGGAGGAATAGCCAGCTGCAAATGGCCTGAGCCCAGCAATGATAGCTAGCAATGCCCGGCCGTTACAATCCACTGAACATTCCACTGCACCACGAACATCCCGGTGAACGTCCACCAACCCATTAATTGCCTAATTTTCACTGCCTTTCCGACCCCTCCCTAAGACCGTTTCTCGGATCTATGAGTAAAGGCTATTCTGGGAGGGCATCCTGTTCTACTTCAGCAGCCAACCGGTAACGTGCAGTGACAAGGGATAACGAAAGTGAGACCGTTGTTGTTGTTGATATCGGGGACTGAAGGCTACGGGACAGCGGGAAGACGTGAGTATGTGGTTGATTAGGCGCTAAGAAATCCAATGCGCCTTCTACACTGAGCTTCCGTTTGTTGCCGTTATTGTATAACGTTGCATCAACGTCTGCATGATCGAGATGTAATGATAGTTTATCGGCGTACCCACAGACACAGCGTTTTTTGCCAAAGAACAAAAACAAAGTGACAATCTATATAACCCTATTAGTATTTAGCTGCTTCGTACGACTTACATACTAGTACACTTACGGTAGTGACTTGGTGACATATTGATTAGATCTGGTAGGCGGCAGTCATATTTCTATAATTATTGTAATGAGCTATCAGGATGCCTGTCGATCTGACATTTTATGGCCCGGTAGCTTAATTAAAGGTCTCACCGAACTCGCCGTAAGTAAACGTAATCCTTTCGACTACGACGTGTTTTGTGTGCGAGGTTGTGCCGATTGCTTAACTGGTTTGTATACTGTTGATTGGCTCTTGGATCACTTACATTACAATACGATAAACTAATACATCTTTTGTTGGAAGTTATCGATAGCAGTGCACGGAGAAGTTTTTCGGAGTTAACTTGAAACTCTTCTTGTGGCCACAAGTTACCTCAAGTATATGGTAAAATATACTTGGCACAAAGGGATAGCTCAAAACGAAGCTGTTTGACTCAACGGCACGAGTTCATTGCTGCAAAACGACCTTTTGAAAAAAGTTACTAATTAGATAATTAATGGCATACAAATACATCACCATGTAATTTATGCAATATCGGCACAAAAATTTACCTTAGTCATGAGGTTGGCGAGGCCTTCTCTAGGTTTAGTGAAATTTCTAAATTATCTATCGACTTGGCCAATAATCTCATTGGTTCCGATGCCTTAAAAATGTGACCATCGATCACCAGATGTCGCTGATGCGCCACCAACTACATGCTTGAATTTTGTTAAGTACTGAGCATAGTCGTTCATGTATGCGAATCGTAATAAACATGAACTATCATGAATATTGTTTTTCCGTTCTTGCCTGGCAGAAAATTGTCTTCAATATTAGACGACATACGTACTTGTTTTCCCAGTTGTAGTTACCCAGCGCAGAGTTGATAGGAAATTCATACCACAGCTGAGATTTGGTAGCCAGCTCTAGTGTCACGAGGCGTTTGCGGCTAAGAAGAAAAAAAAACACGGTTAAAAATAGTTCTAAAGAAACCCGTTTGAAAAGATCCCACCTGCTTGCAAAGGACATTATGTATTACGTATTACTCGTGCACTGCAATTGTGCAATAATACGAAGCCCCGGAACTGTTATACAATTTATGCTTCTACTGTAACAAATGATTGATCAATGATAAGTAAAGACGTAGCTGTTACTAAGCTTCGTATAGTCGAATGAACGCCGTCTGGCGAGGCAAACAATGCGTCTTCTTTGTTTGCACACAATTTCGTACCGTGAATAACGTATTATAAATATACTGCAGCAAGTACATCGCAAGTTTTACTAGTGCCTTTGAAAAAGGAACACATAAATTGGCATACGCAACTATTTATGTTTCATAGCTAGAACAGAATTAACGTGGATCATCGTCCTACCCTTACCCGCCCCCAAAATGTCAATATTAGGACCATAAAAAGACAAGCCAATTTTTTTATCCTCTCAACACCGCCGATTAGGACACGAGTACGTATTTAATGCAGTCTGTTTATTGAAGAGAATCTACATGTTCAATAATATTAGTGTTATTAAACGTGGCATTTTATACTCGAAACATCCTTCTAAATTTATGCTCAAATAAGCCAATTTTTTTAAATTGTTTTTTCTTCTGTACTAATCTGGGCATTCTTTCATTTCATATCATATCGTAGTGAATTAAGCAAATGAGTAACTCGGAACTGGAATATCGATATAAAACTAAAATTTACCCCAAACGTCTCGAAGCACTGCCGGCCTGCCCATACCTCAAGTGTTGAATGAAAGAGAAATGCAAATATTTAAAAAAGCTATATATTTTCGAATGTATTAAAAATCCTATCAATCATAAAAAGAAGCTAAAAAATGACTCTTACTTCTGCGTTCGGTGATCAAAGCAAACAATGAACGAGTGGAGTTTCCCTATCTTCTGAATTAACTAAAATATAAATACGCGTATTGAAAAACGCGACAAATTGGAAACGCCATCTTAAACAAAAAGGTACAATAGTTTAATCACTCAGTCGATGGCATGACATGACATTCATTGATATAGTCTTCAATAACTGAATCAACACCAAACCTGCCTGACAACAAACACTATCAATCGTTGCTGTGAATCCTTGTAATATCACGTTAGGTTATTACCACGTGTGGTTAGGAACCACAATAGGTGCCTTCAACAACTATCTATAATTCAAGTTTCCAATTTTACGTCCGGCATCGCTCTTACCAATTCTATCAAATGGCTGACACCCCCCCCGGGAAACTAAGCACGTCTACGGCCGAATTGGAACCTAGACCACCACGTATATCCGAGAGTAACAGGCAAACACATTGCCCAGTAAACTGTTACTGAGACAGCAGCCCAATGTCATGGCTCATCTATCACTCAGCCTATCTTCGGACCTCGTCTTCTAGCCCATCTCAGTCGTTCACTCATAAATACCCTCACGCAATCACCACATCCTCGATCGATAGCTATGCTATGTGCCTCCGCCGAGAAGCAGATACACTATACTATTGAATTGTGCCGTAGACTTTTACTGTTTAAAAAAAAATTATAGCTGGCGACAACCGGTAGCAGAATCTAAAACTTATATCAACCAATCGGTTAAAGTAATCGGTTTGGCTTACTCTTCATTCATCGAGTACTTTCATTGCAATGCTGTCCGGCTGAATTTAATAAATTATCTCAAAACCAAGTTTCGAGATGACAGTCAACGGATCGGCAACTGTACCTTTGTTTCAACAGAACGCTTATAGAAAACAATCATCACTTTCTTACATAACGGTATTCGATACAAATCAAGAGACAATAATGCTAAATTATATAAAGTTAATAACATTTAATCGGTATAGTGGACATTCTTCGCCAACCTGCTGTGTTTGCTCTTCGAAACAATGGAGCTTGTATTATAATGATCACTGCCATTATCTCTTGTACAGTATGACTCATAATGAGTGCAACAACAAGATAATCTTAAAACAAATTGGTTCTATATAATAAACGTACGCAGTAATCAACGTACAACTTATTTGCTTACAAAGTTAATGCCGGCACCATAGGCTGCTGAGTTCTTCGCGCGAACAGCTGACCTCAGTTTGACTGCATCTTTATGCTAGGCGCTGGCGTAGAGTAAAAAGACAACGCCTGGAGCAAATGGATGCATTTTCCGACTGCATCAGTGAAAGAAAAAAGGATATAAAAGAACGGAATGATGCTGTTTATGTTGAACTTTTCTTTTCAGATATGCTGAAATCCATATTCTACTCTAATAAAAAAGGTGTAAGAAGATAAGCTCTCGACAACAGTATAGTAATTTGGAAGCAGAGAGAAGTTTGAAAAGGTAGTAAATCAAGTTCAACTTAAGTTAACTTTCTCTAGCAATCTAAGTAATATAAAGGTGAAACAACATCGGGTAGGTTGAGAGAGTAGGATCCTGCCCCTCTTCTACTGAAGTTCTTGATTGCAACCTTGATATGGTATGACAATCTTTTTTCTGAGGCCATCGTTCATTTTCGGTCCGCCTCTCACTGCGCGAAACTGGCTGATAGAATTTGTTTGATTTCTTTCAATTATTATACGACGATGTTGACGAAATTCATCGCTTTAAAAATAGAATCGACCAACATGGTAGAACTTTCGTGTCAGGTTTATCAAAACAAGTAAACAGCGGAAGAATTTCTATAAAAGAAGTAAAGGCTAAATCGTCTTTGTCACGTATATTATTATCTTGATAGTTCTCGTCATGTAACTCACCCGTCAAAAAACTTCCAAACAATCTATTAAACCTATTGCGCGAGAAAAATGCTTCCCAGCGTGTTCGAATGTTACTGGCGCTCAATTTTTTTGACAATGCCTTTGTTGCTTCTTCGCAGATCTTGGTGTACAATTTTGTGGGATACATATGGGAGCTCTATATACTAGTAGTATCCGCTTTCCAGCATGATTTCCTGAACGTAGCGGACATCGATGAAGTTCGCACAATCTTTGAGTTTAATGATCGTTTCACTTGTTGTAGTACAAAATAAATTCAGCTCCGGGATGCTGACGAACAATAAACATAACAAAGGGTTCTGCTTGCCTAGCTTTTCTGACAGCTGAAGAATTTTTTTCAGGAGGTAATTTTGCTTAAATGTAAGACAACTCTCGTGGCCGTAGTGAAGAATGATATTTGCTGGAAGGACGCAGTTGTTCAAGAACTCATCTGCCTATAGTACAACCTCAATATTTTCGTTATCAAATGTCTGGAATAATATGGGGGCTGCTTGCGGAAAAATGTCCATAATGTCTTTCTCAAGCTCTCCTTAGGAAGATAGTCTCCGACAATAAGAACACGCACTTCATCCTCCTACTTTCGAAATGTCAGCATTAAGTATCTTGTTCGACGCGAAGATACGCTCTAAAGTAGATACTCGATTGCATAAAGACTGCACGAAATTGCAAAAGTCGGAATCTACGAGTATGTCTGGCAATTTCATGACCGATTTGCCATCTCGTAACTGCGTGCATATTTGACAATTCCACATCACGCCGGTGTCTTTAGACGTTCCCTGCTCGATCGCATGTAACTTCCATTGGCAGTGATTTTACTTGATAACGTCGTCTCCAAGAAACTCGAGGCATCTGTAGCACGTTTGTTCCATGATGGTCCCTTAGACCAACTGTCCACGCGTCAACCAGTTACTGATTAGAGCGCTTCTTTCAGCCCTTCACTGACCGATGAAAACACAAGGACTAACGTAAATTTGAGATAGTCGCTTTAACTCATCCGATTTTTGTAAATTTTTTTCTTCATTTTAGCAAAAATGATCTAAGTTCATGAGAAAATTGCCACAAAATCTTGAAATTAACAAAATGCATAGTTAATCGCTAATTCAAATTGCGATGATGTTTGCGATCCCAAACTGTGTACACGGTAATATGGCGTGGTAATAACAATATTAGTTAGTTGCGAGCACTTCCATTTACAATTAATTGTCCTACAGTTTCGATTCGCTTGTAGCCCACCGCCATCAGAAAATTCCAAGGACCGCCCGTTTTAGCAAGTAGGCTTGTCAAAAGGGGAATGCATTCATCCAATCGAACGGACGTGGGGCTGCGGCGAGCACCACCGCCGGCCAATAACATCAGTCGAACAGCGGCTTTACATCGCATCGATAGCTTTCGAACTTTATAATAGCGTATTTTAACACGTGCAAAGTGATTACTGTTATGTTAGCGATTAAGTTGTGGCCAGGCAATCCGCTAGTCTCTAGTGACGCTGAAAACTACGATTGGAAACGGAGATTTCACGGAGGGATTATTGTTATTGTGACCAAGTGAATCAGTGCCATTGTGTTTAAGGTTGACCACATTAATTAGTTATAGAAGTGAACATGGTTGAGAAGGATGACCACACGCATACCGGCGACAGTGGTGGAACTTCAAGAATTTCTACTATGAAACGAAAAAAGATTGACAACCGTATTCGAGTCTTGATTGAAAATGGAGTAGCTTTGAAACACCGTGGGATGTTCGTGGTTGTAGGCCAAAAAGCGCGCGATCAGGTCGACACAAGAACATTTTCTTGATAACAAGCAGATTAAAATCGTTTCCCATAATTATTGTCAATGAGCCGATATTAACTTGCTAAAGGTAGAACTCGATCCACCTGTAATCGCAGTATATATGGTTTATATATTTTATATAATTTAAGTGTCATGCATCTAAGCAGTGGTTGGCCAATACACAACCAGTATGCAGATATAATACTGTTCAGAATATATAAATTGAATTTTAAAGGAATTAGTATGCTATTTATTACGGCAAGTACACAGTAAAATGTATTTCAGGGTTTTATGAAATAATATATTTTTTAGTTTCAATAACAGGATTAAATTACTTTGGCAATAGTGAAGGATTTACATATGAAAAAGTATAATCATTTGTACATAAAAGCTTTAGCGAATATGCTATCAGCCTACATAGTGGCCGTGAATAATTTTTAGTTCTATGTAACTTATTCTTTTCGATTATCAGTTAGTTGAAGTATATTGAGTAACACATTGTGTCAAGCGTATGCTTGCATGGCCAGTATATTTTAATTTATGCGATAAACAACTAGTTTTGTCGATGATCTTTGGAATTATACTGTAATTACAGGTTGTATTTCTTCACCATATGCTGAGCAAAAGCATAGTCAAAGCCCGGCCATCGGTGCTGTGGTGCTACAAGAAGAACCTTGGCTTCACCACACATCGACAAAAGCGGATGAAGGAAATCCAACGCAGGGTAGGAGTCTAGAATTAGTGAACCCTGCTTTATATATGGACGTTAGTTTCTGAAGTTTTTGTAGTATTGATTCTATTTAGTTACGATTAACAATTGGAAACGAAAACAAGTGCAGGATAAATACACAAACCCATATACCACCAGATTCTTTTGTTCTGTTGGCTTTTCATGGCGTCAAGTTAGAACTATTTCAGACAAGTTAGCTCTGATTTATATATAGAATAGTAAACCTGGAAATTGTTCCGCCAGCCCTGCAATAAAAAAACGCTACCTTTAATAGTGTTTAAAAGAAAATGTTTCCTGGCTTATGATCACGCTGCAGGTTCGTAGCGGCACCCTGGATGTAAACGAGCAGGACCCGTTCGAGCTGTTCGTCGCGTCTACACAGATACGGTATACGTACTACAATGAAACGCACAAGATTCTTGGACAAACCTTCGGTATGTGTTTGTTGAGTTTCATTATATAATCTTTATACTTTTTATTTAGAAAACTAACTTCGTTTGTTATTGCTTGTTTGCGTTTTTGCACCGTCGAGCGAAAGCAAAAATAAGCAGAGACGCTCTAATCATTGTTGCCTCGATTATTATATTGATGTCGTATTGTAGGCATGCTAGTCCTGCAAGACTTCGAGGCGATCACACCGAACATCCTCGCTCGAACAGTGGAGACTGTTGAGGGCGGTGGCCTCATTTGTATCCTGCTTCATAGCATCAATTCTCTCAAACAGCTTTACACGATGACCATGGACGTACACTCGAGATACCGCACTGAAGTCCATACTCGCGTAGTGAACAGGTTTAACGAGAGATTTCTCCTTTCCCTGGCCGATCATACCACATGTCTTGTAGGTGTTTTGGGAAGCGAGTCACTGATATTAAACCCCGTGATAATGATAATATGTCGACTGTAAGCAATAAGATGGCGCGACACCATGAAAATTGGTGTGCATAATAATATATTCTTGTGTGTCGGTAACTCTGATTAGTCCGAACTATATTTGAAATTTTGATATGTATTATGTTAATTAATAATATTACAATTAATAAATAATTTTAATAACTTAAATCATTCGTTATCGTAACTTTACTATTTACTTCTTCCTTTTTTCTATTTGGTCACGCGATGCTAAAGGTGGTTGATGACAAACTGAACATTTTACCATTATCTTCACGTGCTGCCGAAGTTTCTCCAGTGATTCCTGCGAACGATAACGAAGAAAATTCGGAGTTAACGGAACTAAAGGTAAGTAAATTTAGCTGAGGGTCGAATATAGTGGTGAGGAATAAAATAAATTGCAGGAAATTAAAAAGGGAAGCTTTTTATCGATATATGTTAATCAATTCTAAATACCACTAACTACTATGAAATTATAATATATATAGTTGATGACATTATCTATAGCAGTCACTTCAGTGTGCATACAACTTACGCTTTTAATCTTCTAGGAATAGTTGCTATTTAATGTCACAGGCCGGATCGGTGGTAACTATTAAGATTTAGTAAATTTCGTTAGAAAAAATCGTTCGTTGCGTGTGAATACCCCTTAGTATAAAACAGTAGAAGTAAGTTTGTTGATTAGCATATATGAGACTTACTATATTTTTCCATACTCTTTTCCTTTTATAGGCATCTCTTGCGAACTCACCTGTATCGTCAATCGCTGTACAGTGTGCAACTACGTCCCAAATTCAGGCTCTCATACTGATGCTTGACGTTCTAGCTCAAAAGAGTTCTCGAGCAACAGTGGCGTTAACTGCGGCCAGAGGCCGTGGAAAGTCTGCGGCCCTGGGTTTAGCTATAGCCGCTGGACTGGCCACAGGGTACGTATATGACTAGAGTCGGCATATCCATTTAACACTAGAGCGTAGTTTTTGTTATCATTGTAGTGCTTTTAACGTATATCCAGTAGCGTAACGATATAAGTTACACTTCATTTTTATGTATCCAACTTAACTTTTTAAAGTCGTTAGTTTACTAAAAGTTGGGAAAGAAGGCGTTGTATTCTACAGAGATATATTTCTTACTAAATCGTGCTGGACTGCTTCGTGCTCAAAATGTATTTCTAGTCTTGACAATATAAATTGAAAATATGATAGATAACTTCGCTATAAAGCAGCTTGCACATGCTTTATGAGTCTCGAAACATGTATCAATTTAGAACCCTTGTGTTTCATCCATTGCATAGGTACTGCAGTATATTTGTTACTGCACCGTCGCCTGAAAATTTGAAAACCCTATTCGAATTTATTATAAAAGGCCTCGATGCAATGAAATATGAACAGCATAGTGATTACGACGTTGTGCAGAGTACGAATCCAGAATTTAAGAAGAGTATCGTCCGAATTGTTATGCATGTCCATGAACAACCACGGCAAATAGTGCAATACATCCATCCACAGGATTACAAGTAAGTGTCTTCATCAAGATAGTAATTATAAGCTTATATGGTTTAAACGATGTATACGTGTATTAAAAGAAGCTTATGCCTGTGTGAAGTTAGGTCAAGATCGTTATGACCACTTTGTCGAACGCATCTATAGATATTATTCGTTGAAAAAGAGCTGCAGAGTTAGGCTTAAACAAGTCAATTTGCTGAACTCTACGCCAATTTTTTTGGCTTATATTGTTTAATCATCTAAATATTTGACTACGGAGAAACCTCTACAGCGATAAAAAAGCAGAACTCGGAGCGGCTCCAGAAAGACATTTATAGTGTTTAGCGGTCTGAATGATAAGACAAATAATATGCATTCAATTAATACTAAAAACTACTTTTTAGAAATTATTATTTCGTGCAAGTACCACATAATGCGTATGCATTTCTTTTTTCCAGATATGCAGCAAATGCAGAGCTTCTTATAATTGACGAAGCAGCAGCCATCCCTCTACCTTTAGTGAAAAACTTGATGGGTCCATTTATGGTGTTTCTTTCTTCTACGATTAATGGGTATGAGGGCACGGGTCGTTCGCTCAGTCTGAAGCTAATCGCACAATTGCGCAAGGACTCGGCTAGTGCCGGTGGCCAAGCAAACTCAGAAACTCTTGGTGGAGCACGATTCCTTAAGGAATTCCACCTGGAGGAAAGCATTCGATATAAACCAGGTAAACTTTACAGTCTCCTCCCATTTTCATTTTTTATGTCGACTAAGTATTCGGCTTAGTTTTTCTAATTAGACAGGAAACAGAATGCGTGTAGCGTAAATTCCTGATTCCCACTTTCGTTTGAAAACCTTTGCATCTGCTTGTTTGTCATATTACAGGGGATCAGTGTGAAGCCTGGCTTAATCAACTGCTGTGCTTGGATGCTACGACTGATCGGTATTTTGGTGCTTCTGTTGGTTCAGGCTGTCCTCCTCCGCAGGACTGCCAGTTGTTCTACGTAAATCGTGACACACTGTTCAGCTATCATAAGGCAGGAAGAAGTGTCTGTTTTTCCATCACAGAGTATATCATCGAAGGTAGTTAGTTATTGCATCCAAAGTGGTTAGTCACCACCAGAGATGATTGTATTTAGCTAGGTTCATTTTTTTCATCCAAAGGTATCTGAGGCGTTTCTGCAAGAATTAGTCGGACTGTATGTGGCGTCCCATTATAAGAATTCTCCCAACGATCTTCAGCTCTTGTCGGATGCCCCCGCACATCATCTATTTGTGCTTTTGGCCCCAGTTGGCAAGAACAGCAAAAGTGAACTACCACAGGTGGGTCGTAGACTATTGCCTATTGGTTTAATTGTTGGTGAAAAAGGACGCAGTTTTATTTGCTGCGACATTTTGTTTTACCTTTCTAATGCAGTAGCTTTTATAATAAAAAAAAACACGGTTGAGTCATGTACTTTGCTTTGATCTGTTAAGGCGTTTAAAATCGAAACCCTTTTTATTGTCAAAAATGTAGCTACACTAAGTGTGTTAGCCCGTAGTACGTATTATTTTTCGAAGTCAAGGGTTAGAGCGCTAAAGTCAATTACAAATAGCGGCATTCAAGGTCTGCGGGTACCGTTTTAACGTCGTAAATATCATTTTGAGCGCAGGTGCTGTGCGTAATCCAGCTTTGCTACGAAGGTGGTATTTCTGAATCATCAGCGACGTCCCACTTGTCGCGTGACCAGCAGCCTTCTGGTGATCTCATCCCCTGGACAGTAGCGCAACAGTTTCAAGATGCAAATTTTGCACGATTGTCCGGCGCACGCATCGTTCGAATTGCCACTCACCCCGATTACCAGTCGATGGGATATGGAAAACAAGCTATGCAACAGCTGATCCAATTTTTTCAGGGTAAACAACTGCTAAATGTAGTACTAGTTTTACATTCTATGTAGCACTTGTTTTTGTTAGTAGTTTTCAAAATTGCAATTCCTGTTACACCTGGGCTTATGATTTTTTGCCTGCTACTTCACATGATCAACTTTGGAATCATCGCATGGCCGGTGACTGGCCCTTTTGCCTTCAATAGGTGCGTTACTGTGAGTTGAACTCTACTCGCCGTAGTCGAAAATGACGTTTAATTTGTTTATGTCCGTTCATATATTCGGTATTTCAGGCTACCATCTTAGTCTCTCAGAAGAAAAGGGTGTAGGTTCCGTTGATCCCGAAGCGCAGATACTGGACGAACTGACCGAAGCTAGTACTGATCTCCTGCGCGAACGTATTGAACCTAGACGTTCACTTCCTCCGCTTTTGCTGAGGCTGGACGAGTTTAAACCCCGCCAGTTGGATTACGTTGGGGTGTCGTTTGGCCTTACCAACAGTTTGTTCAAGTTCTGGAAGTCACTTGGATTTTCTCCTGTCTACGTGCGACAAACGGCTAATGAACTTACAGGCGAGCATTCGTCGATCATGGTAAGTTGGCAATAATAACACACTTAGTTACATGTAACGGTAGCAAACGAATTACTTCGTTTGTATTCGGAATTCTAAGTAAGCATAATTCGCCAAGTGCTGGGTTGTTCACCCACTAATTGAGAACGTGAGCTGGGTTTTTGTTTTGCAAAACAGGTTTGTTTTACCTTATCGTCCGTAGTTGTTTTGATAATGGTAATACTTGTTCAGTGCGAAAGGAGTATCTTATTTATGAAAGAATGTTGGTAGCAGGGATTTGAAATCTCTGTAGAAAAATCACAATAAGGAAGTATCACGCACCAATTTGGCAATTTTGTTTGCAGGTGAAGGCGCTTGACGATAACTCTACCTGGCTATCTCTTCTATTCAAAGATTTTCGGAAGCGCTTTGCTGCCCTTCTCGGATTCCAGCTTAGTGCTCTCGATTCGAAATTAGCGTCATCAGTAATCGTGAATCCGATCTGCAGAGAAGTATGCATTCAAGGCATTAGTTATTGTTACATTACTGTGATCTTTTCTAAGGCAGAGATAGATATTCTGCTTGAAAACACGTATCAATGTTTGAATGACAGATAAGGATGTGGTAATATCCTGCTAAAAGATAGCTTTGGAAATTACTGCTTTATCTCCGGTCACGTTGCTGACTGAATACTGGATAATTTGCAGGCGTCTGGCAGTTTGTCCGTGGAAGATCTAAATAGGGAATTCTCATCATACGACATCAAGCGACTTGAGCAATACTGTAATAATTTAGCAGATCACCATCTTATCATGGACATGGTACCGGTTTTGGCAAGGCAAGATTTGAAAATTCATTTTTGACATACTTGTTTTAAAATAGGACAACCCTTATAGTCCCGCAAATCTAAATCTGAGTGCTAGCCACGATTTTGTTGTTTGAAATTTCAGAGGTAAATTACCGGTTTTTCTCTATAAAGTTAGCTTTTTGTTAACAGTATTCTCAATGTTCTATTTTAGACTTTATTGAAGTTCCTTATTGTTGCCTAGTAGGAACGGATCTTAGACGACGACTTCGTAATGAGCATCTATTTTTACCTGCTTATTTATGGAAGGTGGTTTTTCCTAGGCCAAATGGATACTAACGGGAACGAGACGTTTCACCTGTCTCTTGTACAGCAGTGCATTTTGCTGGCGGTAGGGCTACAGCATTGCACTGTCGAAGCAATTGCAGCCAACCTAGACATCGATAGGGTTCAATGCCTTGGTCTGTTTAACCGAACGATTCGCAAGTTCCTGACGCGCTTCCAGCGAATTCTTGAGACTCAGATTGTTAGCCAAGAGTTCGACACTAATTCACATAGTACAGTAAATAAGGTAAGTAAATATACTGCACTGAGATCATTCCAGGTGCATGTCTTCTTTTTTGTTCCATTTTAGAGAGTTTTTCTCATATCGTTAAGTTTGTACTTGAAATTTAGAAAATTGTTTGTTTTGTTATTTTATTGTTCACCAGTTTTAGGCTTACTACTATATAGTACAGCTTTTTCATTATTTCTTAATAAAATATTTATGTTACGTAAGGCATTGCTGGTTTCAAGAATTTACTATGTATTCTTTTTTGATGGCCTTAATATATCGGAAGGGTGATGAGCTTCGACCGCTAAGGAAGAGTTTAAAACGCGAACTTGAAGAGGGAGCTGAGGCAATTCGACGAAAGCAAAAGGAAGACATCATTAAGGTAAAAAACCTCATTCTTGTTATATTTTAAGTTAAAAATGAATTAGATGTTATGTATTGTGTATGGCTTGAACTTATTATTTTTTATTCTATTTATTCATCATTAAAGCAACATCCTGAATAAATGTAATATGAAATCTGTGTGGAACTAGCATTTGAGGAATAATTGAATGGCATAGTATTTGACTTAAAATAAGGATGGCCTATCAATTGAATGATAAGAACATTTTGGCAGGGTAGAGGTTTATTTTATCTCAAAGTATTAAGTCCCATTAAATATAAGGAACGCACGTTTTTTTTTTTATCCACATCGAACGTCGGTCATCTATGTGACTACGTATCGTTCTGCAATAAATCTTCCAAAATATAACGTGTTAGCAAAGGATTAGAACACAAAATTTAAAAAAATTTAAAGATAAAGGTTCAGGCGAATGCACGAGTCAAGGCTTTCAACACAATTTTTGTATACTAGCTCGCTCGAGTTAACTTCTGAATATATTTCGTAGGAGCTTAATCTGACCCAATATGCCATCAAAGGAACGGATGATGAGTGGAAAGCGGCACTGGGAGAGCACGGAAAAAGCCTCATCTCCATCAAAAGGTTAGCAATACAACGATTGCACTGTAGGCATTATGTAATTTTATTGTCAAATTGCGGCTTTCCGTAAAATAGAGGTACCTCTGTAACTCGTTTTTTTTGCCATATTGTTTCAGTTTAAACAAGCGGCCGGATGACGATCAGGACGAAGACATGTGTAATGATATTCCTGGCCTGAAACAAAAGAAAAAAATGATGAAATTCAATAAGAAAAAGTCTTTGCGATGAGCGGAGATCAATATATAGTACGTAAATAATAAATATATATTGAACCGTAGAACCTCGCTTTGATTAACTTTTTTGTTTTCTTGAGAGTGAAATATTACTTAGGGTGTGTGTTGTGCTGGGTTAAAAAATTTGTTATCTCATGTTATTCCAAATAATTTACTTCTAGTAAATGACGTTAGAAGCCTATTGTCTGTCTGTGCAAACGAGGTTATTCTAGCTGGTTTTAATAAGCTGGAAATGTTTTAGTAATTATGTGAATCAGTGCAACCCAAGAACCTCAAAGTGAACTAGTTTAGACCGTAACTATTCAAGCTTCCCGACCCGCGACTAGATCACAATTTATTTTTTCATTAGCACTCTAGACCCAACCGTTAGCTAACGTTTAATGATCTTAACTACTGTTATAGAAGTGTCTTAATGTTTCGCGTTTTACGCTCGAAACTATGTCAGTATTTCACCATCATCATCAGACAGCCCAAGTCTTTCCAAAAAACGATGAAAATCTCCCGCTGATGTTTAGTCGAAACTCAGTTTATTAACATAGAAGTAATTAGTGAAACCTAGTAGGTGGAAATAGTTCAAGAGTTTATTAATAATTTAGTGCATAATAAACAGCTAAATTTAATTTTTTTCTCGTGCAGCGGTAACCTAGGCTTACCTAAATAAGTATATTATAAGGACCTTTAATTGTTTTGTTGATCTGGTTTCATGGTCTCCTATATGTACGTACTAAATAATACTATGAACTTGTTACATTTCTGTATTCTAGACCTCATTACCAAATGACATTCAGCATACGAATTACTGCCCGTGACCTATCACCTCATATTTCTGTTCACTCATCATGCTCACAGTTATTAGCTATTGGAGTCGAAGGGATAAAACTTGATCATAAACAACTACATAAGGTGTTAATACGCCTACACAATCGAACCGACTCGGTTTTGGTTGCAAACTGAGAAGACTGAGGTAGAAAGCCAATTGACTGTCTGATACAATTGTACATCGTCGAGAACTCAAATAACAGCATTGACCACTATATGGAATTAATCGGATGCCTAAGTGTCATATGTTAATGCTTGTTTATGAGTGCTTCGCATAGTGGGCAAGCCAATGAGTTGGTCCCGTAAAGCAAGCAGAAACGCCTCGTTTAGATCTTGCCTTGGTGAATTCATTTCCAGGACGGCGACTTCAGCTCGTTACATGTTTTAAATCGATGTGGGCGAAAGCAGGCAGACACAAGGAGGAAGGGGGTCATTGAGACGGAGACGTAGGAAAGCCTCCGTGAGTGTGTTTCGTCTCAAGCCAACGGAACCATTTCGAATCACCGAGGCTGCCGGCACTTAGCAGGCGGAGAGGACCCTGAGTTAGTAACCAAACGCGAATGAAGTAGCCAAACATGAAACAGGTTGTGTCCAGTCGGCAGACAGTACACAGTTCTGACCCTCTACTGCTGCTTCTCCTACATGGACATGGTCCATTAATCGGCACCTGTGCTGTTTAGCTACCTTCGAGTGTCAATGAACCCTTCCAGTTTTCTCTCTTATCGTTGTTCACAGCAGATGTGGTATTAAATTAAGAAAAAAACTGATCATAAAGCAGGAGCAGATCACAGGGAATTTGTTGCAAGCGGACCTTGTGTGAAGGCATACGAGGCTTTGATTGTGCTTTATATGATGATGATCTGACAACGATAGAAGTTATTTTATATTAATTACTGTATTTAGCTAATAATGATAGTCTTGGCGTAAAATTTCAACTCGATTTTAGGCTTAATGTGTCCACATCAGCCTCCGTGTAGATTCTCTAAGATTGTTAATTTTTAGCGGAGGAAGATTCAGCATGTGGCCTGCCAGAGTGATAGAGACGGCAGCTTTACCATGTTGTCATCACTGAGGACAAAGCTTCTGATGTCTATTTTTTCTTTTTTTTACAATCTTATTCTGTCTTAGTAGTTCAAAATAGATCCACCTAAAAATCTGCAGTTCTATCTGACGAAAGCATTTTTTTTGCACCAACTGATTGCTTTTCCAGATAAGAACTTAGTGGTTTAAATGGTGTCATCTTCAATGTATTCTTTCCATAACTTTATTATTGCATTTAAATTAATAAATAATCGCCATATTAACAATCAGCTCAAAGATGCTATAAACATGATCAAGGATTATTCTGCGAATATATCGCATATGAATCGTTAAGTTCCTATGTTTATATGGATATAACAGTGTTGGTTTTCTAATCCTACCACGAGATTTAGCCCCGTGCGAGTACTGATTTTCCAATACGTTTTATCTACCCTAGATACATCAGCGGTAAAAATCAGATGGATAGCTATGAATATACTCGAGAGGGAGTCTGCTACGTAACGTCCTTTACACTGTGCCAAGTATCAACGCCCGAAGAAGACAGTTTGGCCCCATACATCTACTTGCCTTACGTGGATAAGTTACTGCGAGCCCGACTACCTTTTTATGTAGCAATCTATCCATCTGTTCACATATCTCGCTTGGACTGCGCCACGTTTTGGGGCAGGTCCGTAGTCTGCGTGTAGCGACACTACAAAAGCGAACTGGGAAGTCCGAGACGGTTGAAGGGACAGAAAAGGTCTTGGGTAAGAGCTACGCCTGCTGCTTGTCGTACTACCATGTCTTTTTTTTGCTCTGCCATACAATTCCGGTCACGTTTTTCTTATCCGACGAAGTCATTGTGAGAGGACAAGCGCAGACAACACACCACCGGTGTCGCCGCCGTCGCTGCTACTGCGAGACTCTGTTGGGTCTGATCAAAACGTCTTGGATTCAGAAGCAATCAAAGCCGCCTTGCGACTAGACCCGGGCAACTTTACCCGGCTACCCGGCCTTGCGGCCTTCCTGCGGGCAACCTCTTGTGCGCCTGTACTAAACATAAGCTAGCATTGCTGTGTAACCATACTACAACTGCGACCTTGTTAGACCGCCACGCTGTGCTGACTTCCTACCACATAACAAGCACAAGAAAGCACCGGTTGCTGGACAAACCAACCAACTGCCGTCTATTATTTTGTAGCATAGTATGAAATCGGCTTGAGTGAGTGAGCTACGAACCAATAGGTCTATCCGCACGAGCAGACGTATGCGACTCAGTGGCGGCAAGTGTTGGCTGTTTGGAAACATCATGTTTGCTTCAACAGCGGTGACTCTGCACAAATCGTTTGACGGGCTGTCTCACTGTCCCACAGCAGCTATGTGAAGGTTGCAATGAGCGGTGACCGGCGTTATCGTTGTTGTCGTCATGTCCGATGATATATTGTCGGTGACTAGGAAAAAAGTCGCGTTGACCTCCTGAATGAAGGTAGTTAGAAAGCTTTTGTAGAATCGCCGAAAGACGGATGTTTACTAAACGGATAAAAGAACGGATACTGTTTACAATGAGTGACATGGCGTTGTCCACTCCAATCCGTCGTTTCTTGTGGGACAAAGGACCGTTAGGGTGATAGGGAGAACGAGGGAGTGAGTACCGTAACATGACTAAGGGAGGATCAATACGTGGACGACGGAAACGACTATAATGACGATGATGACAACAATAATCACAATTAAGAACAGCAGCAAATGCAACAGCGAAAGATTCCGACGGATACCATGAAGACGGCGATACAACCGCAGCAACGGTACAGTATCTCTGGCATAGGCACACATTGTAGCCTTGTACTTGTAAGCGTTTTGTATCAAGGGTATTGGCAGGGGGAGGTGGATAAGCTTTGTACTAGCTGCAATCAAAGACCAGTAATGACTGTCCCAGACGATAACAATGGGATAACAGGACGGAATGGCGGCTTCTCAGATGTCATAACATTTCCTCACGTGATGAATATCGGATTGCGTGGCTTAGTCTTGGCAGCTCAGAAGAGGGAAGCCCCGAACAGGAAGTTGTCAGACACCGATCATATGACTTTCAATCGCAGCTCTTCTGTATATCAGTGATTCTGTAGACGTTGTAGTTAAAATGACAAGCTCAGAAACGACAGGTATCACTTGCAGGATTTCAATGGTGGAACCCTGAAGAGTTACAATGACGATGCTATCTGGGCGGTAAATGGCAACACAATAGAATTCAATTTGACACATGAGTCGACTGATACTGGGATACAAACCAAAAGGCAATATGTAATGTTAGGTGGAACGTGTCACTTTTGTGTGTCACACTTGAAATCTCTGATCAATATGGTTCGATTCCAGTTAGCTTGAAAAAACTTGCACAGTCATTCAGTGAATTAAAATTATGTCATTAGACACCAACGCTGTTCCCTTAAATGTGGGTAATTAAGCAGAATATAATACACCAACCAGATGGTTTCTGCTTAATTAATCTAACCAATGAAAACTGAGTGCTAGCTGTATTATCCTTACACTCTATGAAGAAAAAGCCCCGGATGCCCCTAGGAGCTTGCTATTTACCACTGGGACTGTACATAGCCATAGTTGTAAATCTGCACACATCTATCCCATGCTAACATAATCAGTTTGAATCTTCCCAATGCACCCGCACAGAATGTTTGTTCCTGTTCATGGATCAAGAATTGAAAGATTTCTTATAATCCGATGGCTTAACTCTTAGGCAGGTGAACACAGATACGTAATCTTAAATTACGAGGTGAAAAGGGTGTCCCTAGGGTTAAGTGTTCACAAGCACACCTCTATCGGTTAACTTAAAGTAAGGCATGCCTTATTTTTCAAGCCGATTCTGATCGGTTGCTGCTGCTGTTTTTTTTTGAAACAAAGGACTGTTTTGTAGCTTTGAATGGTCCACTCTTTGCTGGTACTACTTCTTTTGAAAAAAATGGGAGAATATTCGGTACCGGTTGCATTGTAACCAGAAAATCGGAGCGACATTAGGTAGATAAACAGCCTTCTATAGACATAGTAAAACAATATAGCGCATTTCACAAACGCAAAAAGAGAGCAATGCGTTACACTATACGACTAAATAAGTTATAATCCCGAAATACTAAGTTGAGGTAAAGTAGTAGAAATTTGACATTCTATTCTGAATTAAATTATAGACAGTCGTAAGATCTAAATTTACATACTCTAGATCTTCCACTCACTCGGCACTGCCTCTGAAAGTTGAACCCGGAACATCCCCCGACTTGAACCCTCCACAATTTTGCAATTTCTAGCAGTTGCACGCTTTCAATTTTTTTTCCATGTATGAGGGCGTGACAAGTAACGTTATGAGCAGGAACTGAAGAACAAAGTATTTTTAGAACAGATCAGAGTATTTCTACACTCTTATCTTTGCTCTGATAGTGAGCGCTCTAAGTACGCTAGTGTCTGCATAGTAAATTTCCCAATAGAGAGAAAATTAGTGAGAAAAAGGACAGGAATTATTGACAACATTTATTGTCTACTTTGTTTTTTTTTAAATGACGCTATGATACGAGTTAGTCGAAACGGGAGTTCTCGGCGCTCGCCGCGCGCATGGAAGACACCAAAGGAAAAAAGATGTGGCGAGGAAGCTGTAGGAAGATACAACATGGTAGTTTCTCTATTTTACGCAGTAACCACAACGTAACCACAATGAAACTTTCAGCTAAGTAGCTTCTTTTGCAAAAAGAACTCTAACTAGCTGAAAATCTTGAGGCACATTAAATGTTTCGGACTTTACGTTTAGTACTCAAGCCATTAGGCGTTCTTCAGAATTTAGTTGCCGATTCGAGCTTGTGAGGAAATGCCCTGGTGTTAATTTTTTAGTTTGGATAGGTAACATTTCAAACATCCAAACATGGTTGCAACATTTTCTTCACATAGAAATCTGTTTCAGTTTCGTGTCTCTGTTGCTCCAGTATCATTTTATGACTCGCTTAAGGCCAACTATTCAAGACACATCCTTTGCTGAAACTATGTCGCTTTAGGAAACAAACTGTTCTTCCAGCTCAGCTCTATCATCTGCTGGATAAGACCTACCATTCCAGAAAAGTTCTCAGATTGCCACGTTTTACTCTTTAACAGTTTCCTCGTCATCTTCCATCGGATATCTCTTGAGACTAGTTAATAAAAGTCAGCTTCGTGCTAGCTCTTTTCGCGGACAGTTATAATGGTAGTACTCGCTGAACTGAAGCATGATCCAGCCTATTTTCGTTATCCTCGCAACAACATGTGTTCGAATAATCTTCATCCACTTCTGTTAGGACAGCATACTTTGAAATAATAGATAGATCGAAATCCACGTTGCTGAATTATGTCCACAGAGTCCTCCCTCTACGCATTATATGTAAATACCGCTTTCTTCCTTTCCTTACTGCGGATAATGAAATGTTTAAAAATTAATGTAGATCAGTTTGTATATATATATATATATATATATATATATATATATATGCCGTATATTAACATATTAATTTTCACGTGTTCTTTCTGGAAAGGTCAAAAGACGTTTCTACGGTATAAAGTCTTTTCAACGTCAATTCAAATCCCTCGCTCTAACTAGCGCTCTTTCTGCTTCATGATATCCACGGATTCAATTGTCATGGCTCTAATCTTTTTCTATCCCGTTAGTACGTCGATTTTTGCTGACGTTTTTTGATTCCCTTGTCCACATTGACATCGATGGGGTTAGGGGGGTGCCGTTCAATCGACAGTACTGCTAGTCCGATTTCGGCCGTACTATTATTCCACCCATGAGTTTCTTAAATTAAGTGAGCTGGAGAACCAATCAAGCCCGCCTGCGTGCTTGACAATGGTGAGTAGGGAGCTTCCAAAAGATGTATCAAGATTTAGCTTATCTATCGCTGCTAAGGTACTGGTGTGGCTCGTTTACCGAACATTACGCTGTATCATTCGTAAAACCGGCGGGAGAACGTTTTCTTCAAAGGAGTTACTCAATAAGGGCATGCCGCAAGGCTCGAACGTGCGTGTATATTCGACCGCCGTGGTAAGAGACAGGACCGATTGAGTGAGTATGTGGGTATAAAGATTTATCCAAGGTCATTCTGGACAGATCTTGTTAGCCATTCTTCTTTGCTTTACCTCACTCTGCAAATCATATTCGAAATTATGTAA